TATGCTCCTACTGACCTCCCCTAATTTTGGTAGAAGTTTTAAAGAAATATTTAAATAGGTTGCAGTGCAAAATGCACTCTGGACCAGAGAAGAAAAATTGAGTGCAGGGCTCAAAATATTTCATGAAGGAAATATAATTTAGCATAAAAGTGATTTAAAAACATAACCTGACATCTCCAAATTTTTGTGGAAATTTTAAGTGAATCTATCAAATGGTTGTAGTTCAAATATGGCCATTTAACCTTGAAAAACTATTTTCAAGAAAGTAAAGATCAAGCAATTAATTTAGTTAATTAGTTACACTGATAAAAGGAAAGTTTTTCTTGAGAGGTTAAACAAGTCCAATAACATACTTGAAAAATTTTCTCTTTGGGAAAAACTCATCATAACAGGGAAGGAAATGAGTCAAAAATCAAAAATGGAGCTCAGAAATCCAAAGTTTTAATTCCTGGCAAAAAAATTTATTTCATAAAAACAAGGCCAAATTTTTGGGGTGTCACAGGCTGGCATGGCTACAGTGCGCCGTATCTCTGGAGATCTCCATCGTGGCGCGGCACTGTTGCCATGCCCGCCCTGACCTCAGCCCCCGTGGGCGGCGCACTGTGCCCACGTCGGCTTGCCTGTACGGCCCAGAGACGGCGGGTCCCACCCGTCAGCGGGGGTACAGAAGATGGCAAGAGCACCACAAGATGGACCCATTGGGAGTCGGCCCCCGGGAGTCGGCCGGCCCCTCCCACGGGCCCCACACGCCATTAACCAGACACGACGGGGAATGGCACAGTGATCGCCTGTCAGGCGGCGGCACTGTTGCCATGACCCCATGACCAAGCCAACGTCATTAGAGGCACGGCTACAGTACCAGGCCTGTCGGCGGGGCCCGCCAGTCGGCGGAGAAGACGGCGGCCTAAGAGACAGACGGCTGGGACCCACGCCCAGCCGGATTACCATTGTATCCATGGGGCGGGCCTATATAAGCCCCCCGGGGCACCCATGCGTGGGGGATCGCTCCTTTAGACTAGACCAGATCATATAGGAAGGAGGGAGCTAGCCTCACCTTCTCCTACCTCCAGAAAACAGTTCAAGAGCAACATTGTACTCACTTTGCCATAGTGATCATGCGGAGACCCCGCAGAGCAGCAGTAGGGGTGTTATCTCCACGGAGAGCCCTGAAGCTGGGTAAGATTCGCCGGCGTGCATGCCTTCGCCTCATCCCGTTTCCAGGCACCGGCGACGTTCTACTCGCCCCCACCATGATAAGCCATCCTTTGGCATATGTTGCATCCAACCCCCGACATTAACATTAGCTTGGTTCTGACCTCCGCATCCTGGGACAACATCATCAGTTGCAGCCAATCTACACCAGTGTATTTAAATTCCTCTTCTTTAGGAATTTCCCAGAAGGCCCTCATAGACTGACGAAGAGCTGCACTCCTAGTACATGCTATAACAGCATGGTGCTCATCTTCCGCACATCTTCTACATATTTCACATACACTGTCATGCGCTATTGTCCTTCTGAATGCATTGTGTTTGGTAGCGAGCGAATTGGTGGCTACTCTCCATCCAAAGATCTTCACCTTCTCCGGTATCTTAGCCTTCCAGATTGCATCCCATATGCTGCGATCACCTGGGTCTCTCAACGAGCTTGTAGCTCTTTCCGTACCATTTTTTTTCAGTGAATCAGCAAGCTTGTAGTTGTAGGCACTCCTGACCGTGAAGATTCCCGTTTTCTCGTAGTGCCAAGCAATACAATCCTCTACATCAGCCTGTGGTATTTTTAATTTGCATATCTCTTCTGCATCAAAAGAGTGGAAAATCTGCCTCACTAGTTCGACATTCCATTCTTTAGTCTGTGTGTCAATCAGTTGGTTTACCCACCTCAGCCCGGATTTCCTTCTAAAAGACGCCACTTTCAATCCCTCTTTCCTTGGAATCCACTGATCTCTTGTAATCTGAATGCTTCTGTTGTCTCCTGTTCGTAAAATGAGACCCTTTTATAGAAGGTCCAGGCCAAACTCAATTCCCCTCCACACAGGGGATGCATCCGACGAGAAGACTGTATTGAGGAGATTACCATTAGGGTAGTATTTCGATTTCAGTACGCTAGGACAGAGACTGTCTGGCTTATGAAGCAGTCTCCAACCTTGCCTAGCTAGCAAAGCCTGATTAAACATGTGCATATCCCGAAATCCAATACCACCATCACATTTTGGTTTTGTCATATTTTCCCACGACATCCAGTGAACCTTGCGTTTGTCGTCTTTGTCATCCCACCAGAAATCTATGATGACCTTCTCATATTTATCACAGAAGCTCTGATTGAGTTTAAACACTCCCATGACAAACGAAGGTAATGATTTCGCCACCGCTTTGACGTTTACCTCTGTAGCAATTAGATGAAGTTGGTACTCCAATTTGCGCAAGGGGAGAGGCGCGACGGTTGCCAATGCAACCACGTACAGATTACAATGGAAGGATTATCTCTTTAGTTAACCTATTAAACATCCCCTCCCACTGAATGTGCATTGCCGGAAATCCTGAAATAAATTCGAGCATCAGGATTTGAACCCTGGTGGGCTGGGGATACCACATTCCCTCTAACCATCCAACCACAGGATGGTTCGCCACGTGTCTTCTTTCTGATAAAAGAAATAAAGAACTAAGACTAGTATTTTCACCTGCTCCCATATAATACTCAAACAACCACCGTACTTCTTCAAATAGATGGTGGCCGTGCGAGCTGACCCACGTGAGGACTGCACACGGAACTGACTACCGCGGCGTGGCTCGAGCGAGAACGACGTACTTGTTGACGACCAGCGATGTGGCCGGCGCAGCAGCCGGCACCGCCGGTCGTGGCGTCGATTGCGAAGAAGACTCGAGCTGACCCACAACATACGCGTTGACGACCACGGCGTGCACAGCGTGTCCGGCATAGCTGTGGCACCGATGGTCTTTATGTCGATGCCAGAGGCGAAGTCGACCGCGGTGCTAGGAAGGCAATAAAGGCTGCACCCGACTCGGCATGGGTGGTGGCACTTGCAGCATCACGTCCAACGCAGAACACTCCTAGATGCCGTCCCAAGCGGACCGTGACTCCGGCGAGCCAACAAAGCGGATCCTGGAGTGTGCATCACCATGTCCGACGAGGAGTTCCGCGCGCACGCGAACAGATCGAGTTGACTGCGGCAGGGTTCGACAACGCGAGGTTGTGCCGCTGTCGTTCAGCGGCGAGAAGTGAAGTTGGTAGAGCAATGGGCCGGCGAGGGAGGGCACGCGTGGTGATCACCACGACCCTGTCAGCACGACGCCAATGACACTGTGTCCCTGGCGGCGACAATGGAGTTGGCGACTACCACGTCGTCGAGCACGAGGTCGGAGGCGACCATGCGGACGGCGCCGATGAACGGGATGCTCACAGACTGCTCGATGTCGGGAACCTTCGGGTGCGCGAGTGCTTCGGCAACTCAATCGGGGCACAAGCGGGTGCTCTGCGAAGTCGAATCCGGACTGGAAGATTATACGGGAGCAGGCTCCTCCCGCGGAGTGGTCACCGATGCTTCCTCATACAACGGCGGTTCGGGTGATTGATGTTCGTCGAACAGGAGTAACAATACCCCCGATCCAGACGGGCAGTTTTGAACAACAGAATAGGTATACATCTTCTTGATTCATCATCCCAGAGCTAGCTAGGTTCTGTGATACAGTAGTAGATAGGTTGCTAGTTAGTGGGACAATCTTTTTGCAAAAAAAAGTGGCACAATCAGTAGCTAGTGAATTAGCGGAGAAGAGTAGGATGTAGTTGTCCGGCCTTCTGATAATTAATCTAGCTGTGTTGGTGGTCGATGAAAGACGAGGGGAGAGAATACCTAGGATCCATGAATTAATGATAATAATAGTTGAGATGAAATTAATCAGAGAATGCATGGTTGATTTAATTTATTTAGGTGGCTAAATTAATTTTAGCGTTGTAAATTATGAAGTAATTCTAGCTGTGGGCAATAAGGAGCCGTTTAATTTTTTTGTGTGTGGCAAACTATATAGTGAAACATACAATGCATGCAATTTCCTTGGCAAAATCTAAAGTAAGAGAGAATTAATATAACCATATTAATACAATTAGATCAGGAAACTAGGTCGACATGCTGGGTTGCACTCCCTCCGTTGATAAAAAGTTAAGAGTAACCTGTGTTTGAGAATAATCGTACCATGCAAGATGCATAAAGGGCCCCGGGTTTTGCTTTCGCCCCGGGCCCCTCAAATCCCAGGACCGGCCCTGCTCGGGGTCGTCTGGTTGCAGGGTGATGACTCTGGCGGTGGGAGGCGCGGCGTTTTGGGGGCTGAGCGTGCGCCTCTGGTGCGGGCGGGCAACCATGGCCACGCAGGTGGCGTGGTTGCGGGTGGTTGATAGAGTTAGGGTGTGAGGGAGGAGTGTGAGCGCCGAGGTACACCACTTGCCCAGTCCTTTGACTGGCTGATGATGTCGGTGGCAATTGATGTCGTACCCTTCTTGGAGGCTCCGTTGTTGCGTTCCACTCCTGTCGTCTTGCTCCGGGTGAAAACCTGATCTTCGGGATCCGGTGGTGGCGGCTATCCATGGTCGTAACCTTCTGAGACGCACCGCTTTGGAGTCCCGACTTCGTTATTGCCCGGCTCACCTCTCTTTGTGGAGGTCTCTGTTGGCTCCAAGCGGTCTTCCTCGCTCATCAGTAGTTTGCTTGGCTGTAGGTGGGGTGGTGTAGTGTCGGTGTCCGACACCTCTGTATATCTTGCCCTGTATGTGTGGGTTGTGTGTTGTGGTGGTGGTGTGTGTTTGTATCGGTTTCTCGGATGTAATCGGTGATGGTTGCTTTATAATCTAAAGCGGGGAAACCCTTTTTCGGTGAGAATATACAAAAACAATGGTGTTATACATACTAATAATTATTTCTCGCAGGAAAAAAAATACATGCTAATAATTATCATCGTCTCGCTGGGGACAGGCGCCTTCTCCAGCTACATCATTTTTCCATTTTGTTACTTTTGATCAGTTCCGTCGCATAAACTTGGTAGAAGTGTTCTGCCATAAGCCACAGGATGGTTGTCAACTCACCGCCACTGTTGAGCTTCTCGGCATGGAACCTCCTGCTGCACTTGTTACCAGCGTAGACAAGAATATCCGTCCACACCTTAAGGACAAGTTCCGGTACGGATTTAACCTTGTCATCTTTTTCCATTGCTAGCAGTTCCTTTGCAAGGTCAGTTACATAGGAGAGACGAGGAGCCTCGTAGGTGAAGCCTTTACCCTCATACTTGTATATTTCTTTTGCAAGCTCCTCTCTGTCACTGACCCTTAAATCAGACTTGGGGTCATCATGCAGACGGAACAGATTCTTGAGCGAAGCACACAGGTTCATGTCTTGACGCCTATCAGTTGATCCCCAAGTCTTGACCAGACTTTCACAGGTTAGTTGGTACAACCTGTTTTGGGGGAGGCCTGGCAGCATGTCCGGCTGCTCCACGAGAAGGAACATCATGTAGTTGGATATCACCTTGACCGCCTTCACATCATCCCGTGTCTTCTTTTCTTTGGCTTGCTCGCTCTTGGCGAGGAAAACTTCGGTGGCGATGTGCCAGATGATTATGCACTCCTGGAACTCAACGCCGAGGGAATTTGTGAGACGAGAGTTGAACAACCCCCTGCTATGCAGTGTTTCCTCACCCCACTTATTCTTGAGCATGCCCAGTGAGTTCACAAAATCCTCATCGTGTATATGTTGCATATATTCAAAGATACGATCCTTGAGATGGCCCGGCATGTCAGCTTCCCATGAGTAATGCTCTCTGTTCCATAGCTCATTTAGTCCTGATCCCGCTATCTTGGCCAAACTGCCAAGCAGAGGCCTAGTGCGTGCACTGTTAGAACCGGTGCAATAGTGCAGCATGTTGTACTGACCCATGGTATGTGACCACCTCCTTGATCTGTACCGGCTACCTCCTCCTACCCTGACAAGATGGTGAAGATATGCAACCAGACGCCTAAGCCGGTCCCATCTTTTATTGCACAGTGCTGCGTATCGAAGCCAGTCCCATCTTGTGGTGCTCACGAAGGCAAATGTCCAGGAGGAGCCTAGGGCGTTCAGCAGCGATGTCATCTCCATGAACAAGGCACCACCATACAATATGTAGGTGATATTAACATCAACTCTACGGTGCGCCTCCTTGTCAATGAAGATGAAAAGTAGCAGTGAGGCGACAATGGCGAATGGCGAGATGAGGCGTACCAAGTAGCCGAAGCAGGTGTGGATGACAGCCGCCTTGGTGTATAGCATGTCATACATGAGGGAGAGCTCAGTCTCCATCAATTGCCATAAGCTGACCTCGACTATCATCTCGGTGCTGTCTTGGCCATGTTCATCATCTCCCATCACAGGATAATCAACTATGGCACGCTTGCATATGTAGAACAGCGAGTGAGCTCGTCGCACAAGGGATTCCTCATCGAACTCGCCATACTTCTTTACTGTATCTTGAGGGTGGAAATGTCCATGCATGGCAGCTGGTTGCTTCTTGACGGAGCCCCGGATGCTGTCCAGATTGCCGCGCATGAGCGCCACCATCCTCTCCCCGTACTTGACAGCGCCGACGGCGAACATCAAGACGGATGCGAGCCCCAGCAAGGCCCCCTTGTCCGCGATATGCTCGTAGAGGACATAGACGGCCCCGATCACCTGAAGGACGGCACTCAGCAAGTGGCGCTTCCAGAGCTTGTTGTCCTCCAGAGAGTAGGCGGTGATGTTGTCGGGGCCTCCGAGGTGCAGCAGGAGGAATGGCGCCCAGAACGCGACGATGGCTTGATCGCGCGGCGCGTCCGTGAGGGAGAGGTGGCCGACGGCGTATGTGGCGGTGTAGTCCGCCAGCTGATACGCCACCCAGAGGAGGGACCGCCGAAAAGGGTGGCCTCCACGCCTGCGGATCCCGGCACAGAGGAAGAGGGTGATCTGGCACCCGAGGCTGAAGAGCACCAGGATCTGGATGGACCAATGGTTCCAGAGGTCCCGCGGCGAAGCGACCATTGCTCCTGTCTGCACCGGCCGGATCGGTGGACTAGACGTGGTACCTGCAGTTTCAGGAAATATAGACGCAAATCACTAAGCTGCACCCGTGCTTACAAATGATGCGCTCTCGACAAAATATGCGTACGTAAATAAAGGATACAATGCGGCTAAAGTAGCTACGTCGGTCGTCGGCCCTCCATTGCAATTCACAGCTGATGATGGCGTGATGTACACATACCGTTGCGGCCAGCGTCGTCCAAGATCAGTCTGGTCGATCTCCCGCCGAGACGAGGCCGACGCGGACAGCAGCGAAACAGGAAATGGACGAGAGGAGCAGACTCGTCACTTCACTCCAACAAACTATACTAGGAGTACGTAGTAGCTAAGCTGGAACGTTTGATAGCTCCATACATGCATGCACGAGGGTTCCAACCAATCCATCAACTTGTTACCGCGCGCGCACACACACATACAACAATCGATCAGCCATGTTCCTGGCCCCTTTTTCGAGAAAAACCACGTTGGTGACCCATGTGGCGGCGGACAGCGGGTGGGTGCATATGGCACTACAAACCAGCGGGCATGCCAAAAGTCGGAAGCCCCCTGTGGCGCTTTCCTTAACCTACATAGTCTGGCTAATTTGTTGTTTTACGTGGACAGCTTTGGCGCCGAGTCGGCACGCTAACACTCTGTGATTGGATCACTGTTGCATTTCAAAGGTTTACATTAAGTTAAGCAAGACGGCTGCTACGTTTGAGCCCCATCGGATCCCGGGCCAGGGCCAAACTCATTTTTTCTTTTCTTTACAGTTTCCCCAAACTCAATAAGTTCTGTAAAATTTCAGAACATTGTGATCAGCTCATATTCAAATTTGAAACTAGTTGAGCACTTCAGCAGCCATGGTGCGTCAGGCCTCCATCGTTCCGTGGAGCTGAGAAGGCGCCATACTGGCATGTCGCAGGTGCTGGTGTTATTCCGGTCGACCTAGGCACCTTCTATCATTTATGCTTCTCAACGGTCCTGCTAATACTGAAGCTGAAGATGAACATGGCGTGCAAGTTGTGCAACAGCTGAAGTTGTACAGGGCGAATTTTTTTAGGGGTTGTACAAGCGAAATGGCATCAGCAAGTGATAGGCTGCATCTTAGGCCCAAGAGAAGAACTGCTTGCCCAATGCGCGGCTTTGGCCCGGACAAGGCCCGGTGAAAAGAAGTACTTAACTCGAACTACGAGATGGAAGGGGGAGCTCCTATGTGGCACCTTAAGCGGCACTTGGAGGCACCCCTGCTTGTGGGCCGGCCCATGTAGAAGGAGAGCGCCCGGTCGCTTGATTGGTTTCCCCCCGGTCACACAACCGCTTTTGAGCGGGTCGCAGTTGACCAGTTGAATGGTCTACCATTGACTTTGGAAAAAATACGGAAAAAATAAAAAGGGAAAATCACAAAAAATTGAAAAAGTTCATGAATTATAAAAATCACATAGAAGTTCACAAACTTAAAAAAAGTTCATGAATTTAAAATACTTCATCGAATATGAAAAAGGTTCATCTAATTTGAAAAACAAAATCATCCATTTTTGAAAAAGTGCATTGAATTTGGAAACAAGTTCGTTGACTTTGATAAAATTCATCAATTTTTTTGATCAAATTTGAAAAAACATTAAACAATTTCAAAGAAATGTCATCAAATTTGAAAAAATGTGCATCAATGTGAAAAGAGTTCATGCATTTATAAAAAGAAAGAAGAAATAAGAAAAAACAAGCAAAAATAGAAAACCCAAGTGGAAATGCAAAAAAAAACTAACTAACAGAGAAGACAATGGGTCGGCCGGCTACAAGACCTAGCGTACAGAAAAGACAGTGTGCGATCTATACCATAAGGCCTATAACGGCATGGCGACTATATATCGCTTTCAATGATTCCATAGAAAGTATCATGTCGAGATTTTCATGGTCGTGGTCGTTACTGGATCGGCCCATATTCGCGCACTGTTAGATAAAAAGATAAGGAAAAGAAGAGCATTAGGGGTCAATCCCTAGTTGAAGGAAGAAAGCCCGCACCGCTGCCCGCTAGGCACCTCGCCATCCTACATTTCGCAATAAGTACAAGGGTGTGACCTAATTGAAGCGAGTCCCTTCTTTTTTTTGGTCTTTGTTTTCTTTCTCTTCTTTTTTCTTCTCCATTTTATCATTTGTATTTCGTTGTTTTTTTCTTTGTATTATTTTGTTTATTTTTTTTCTTTGTTTCTTTTGGTTTTCATTCTACTTTTCTGTATATGCACATTAATCATTTTTTCTATGCAAATTTTAAAATATTCTAAATGCTTGATTAACAATTTTCAAATAAAAAGATTTTTCTAAATACATGCTCAACATTTCTTCAATACACATTTAACATTTTCTAAGCGCTTGATTAACATTTCTCAAACACTTGTTCAACATTTTACAATGCATGATTAACATTTTTATATACATGAGCAAAAATGCATGAGCAAAAAAATTGTACATGTTTAACATTTTCCAATTGATTAACATATTTGAAATACTTGTTCAACATTTTTTCAAATGCTTGATTAACATTTTTATATACATGATCAATTTTTTCATGATTTTGTCAATACATGGACAACATTTTTTCTATACACATTTAACATTTCTCAAACGATTGATTAAAATATTTAATTACTTTATCAAACATTATTTTTAAAAATGCTTGATTAGCATTTTTATGTGCATGATCAAAAAAATCATCATGTTTTTAATACATGATCAACAATTTTTCTATACACATTCAACATTTTTTCGAATGCTTGATTGACATTTTTCACATACTTGTTGAACAATTTTTAAATACTTGTTCAACATTTTTCATATACATGGTCAACTTTTTTTCTATACACATTTTAACATTCTTTGAATGCATGGTCAACATTTTTCAAACATTATGTAAAAAAAATTGAATATAAGTTTATTGATAATTTTCGGAAGTTTAAACAAAAATATAAAACGAAACTAAAAACATGAAAGAAAAACAGAAAAAAAACCGAAGATGTGCCCTCAACCGCACCTGGCCTGGCACATCTAGAGCTGCCCTGACGCGAGGGTTTCCCTAGGTCTCGCTTAAAGTGAGAGATCTACCCCTAATGCTCATCTTTTCCTTTTCTTTTTATCTAACAGTGCGTGAAAATGGGCTGATCCATTAACGACCTCGGGCGCGATCTTTCTTTTTCATAAATGTTTCGTTGCAGAAATATTGTAGCGTAGTTTCACCACATAAGCAAAGGGATTATACAACAACCTATAGGCTCTTCATCGCTTCCACCAAACATGCATCTACACCGCTTCGTTTTTTTTACATTTCGCTATTTCTATATGTATTGTGCTTCCCGATAGTATACTACAATAAGGTTTGTCCTGCTCCGGTGATGAAGGGGTGATGACGGTGGCACACTTCGGCTCGCTACAGTACTGGTAATCGTCGATAGGTGGTCTGCGGACCTGGATGTAATTTTTTACTTTTGATCTTCTTTGATTTGTTACTTTTGATGTTCTTTGTACTATTTTAAGAAAAAAAGAAGTACACGCCGACGCGTGTGATGGAGCCGCTAACGCCGATTAGCCAGGTGGTACATCCGAAGTAGAAGTACACATTCCAGAAGTACACAACCATCTTCCCATCTAAGGTACTGACCACCTTTCCATACATGTTTTTTCCACGGTAGGGACACTTGATTAAGCAATGCATGGTTGTACCTCTTGGTCCTCCTCCTCTTCTCAAGACATAATAGTACAAATTAGTGCCAGCTTGGATCGATTGGTCATCCTAATTGACACGCACGTAAGTACTAGTATATATGTACTGCCTGCATTCCACACGGAATTCATGTAGAAATCAAACCTCTCTCTTAATTGGCACTTGGACACCCGCGCGTGTCGGTGTGTTTCGATTTGCACGGAAATGTGACGGAAATTACACATGATGAAACCTGAGATTTCAGTTTACCTAAAATCTTAAAAGTGCACGCGCACTATTTGACAAGACCGAGCGGCCGGCTCCTAGCCGCACGATCTCTCGGTGTCGTCCCACCTGCAGGTGCTACTTGGTCGGGGGAGACACTCGCTACGCGACACGCGATTACTCTCTCGTCCTTTTTTCTCGACTGATTCCCTCCTGCGGCGCTGCCCCTGCTTCTCGCCTTCCTTCCCCATGGCGCCGCCCTGCTGCTCTCCTTCCCTTCCTTCCCATGGCGCCGCCCTGCTGCTCTCCTTCCCTTCCTCCCCATGGCGCCCCTTGCTGCTCTCCTTCCCTTCCTTCCCATGGCTCTGCCCTGCTCTTCCCCTTCCTCCCCATGGCGCCCGCCTGCTCCTTCCCTTCCTCGCCATAGTCGACGTTGCTGCTGCTGCAGATGGCTGGGCCAAGGACGACGGAGCGGCTGCCGTAGAGGGCGGCATGTGCGGCGCGGCCAAGAACGACGGTCCAGGCCACCACAGTATCATCGACAACCTGTCTCGTTGCTCCTTCCCCAACCAGATCCAGCCCCCTCACGGCCATG